TGGGGAAGGAAGGTACGAAGTGTCTCTCACTTGAACTGGTCTGTCAGCTCCACGTTAACCTTTACCCTGATGCAGCATGTTAGGTTTCAAGGTTGTCTGCGATGGAAATCCATGCAGCGAGATCTAATCCAACAAACATTCAGCTAATCTGATGAAAAATAAAGGTGTGCCTTACAGCAAACAATTGATATGGTCAGCCTCAAAAAATCTATCCATCTCTTCTTTCAGTCTCTCCTTTTCTGTTTTCCAAGCACACAGAGATGAGAAGGGCACTGAACATTGCGCGCTACACCTTTCACTGCCCTCTTGGGGTAAAGCCGTTGATTCGTTAACAAACACAAATCGATAGAGGGGCCTGAATGGAGGACAAGTACAAAGAATTAATTTCCGGCTCCAGGGGCTTACAATGGCACATCACCAGCTTTAATCAACAGTGTCAAGCCAGAAAGACAAATGATGTTTACGCTGAAGCGGTGTCTCGCCTGCAAACAGCTGCATTGGCTCTGTCTCCTTACCAGTCTGTCTAGGCTTGTGCCAGCTGCAGTGGTAGGCCGCTCCTCTGGGCTGTACGGCCTGAAACGGGCACTGAACACATCCGAAACACCACGGGTAGACCTAGTCATTCCTGCGGGTTTTGGCTGGCCACAGCCTTGAAAAACCTGCAATCACAAAGACATGGGCACCCAGTTGTCAGGGGTTTAAATTACTTTGGATGCGGAAAATAGGAAAAACATGCTTTTTTGTTGAGGTCTTATGAAGCATTCACCCCACATGACAGTGCCCTATGTCAAGTTGAGGCAACTATGTTGATAGGTGAATCAACCGGGGGCTGTGACCAATGCCATTTAAGATGACAGTGTTAAGCTTTTACAGGCTTTTAGGAAAACACCACATATACTTAAGCCATAAACAAAACTACATCTGTTGCCTGGGAAAGCCGACAAGAGTATTTAGTTCTGAATGAAAACCGGCATCCAAAACTGTGCAGGCAGAAAGAACTCCTCAGAACCACCTACATTTATTCCCTTTCTGACTACAATTTTGTGGGCAAAGAAAAATGCAGTGAAACACAGGAACTTACATTAACCACTGTTAGTTGGACTAAGATTATCTGACCAAACTGAAACATATAATTCAGATACAAGACCTAAACTTGGACATAATGAGAATGTGTTGTAATACACACCTTAGACCGCAGCCCAGTGTGACTAACAGAATGCTCCCCTCTTACTCACTCTCCAGTTTGGGGCAGTGTGAACAACAACAGCATGTCCGAGGTGTAACTTTTGTTCGCTGGGGAATAAACCTCATTGACATACCTGGTACGTGACCTGGCCACTGTTTTCTTGCATATTCATGATGGCCTCTGAAATCTTGACATCAATAGGCTCCATGACAGATTCAATGTTGAAAGGTCCCTCCAGCCTCTGCGCCACCAGCAGCATAGCATCTGTCATAGCAGTCATAAAGAGGTTGTTGAAGGAAGGAGAAAAGAGGTGCAAACAGACACATATTCAGCTGAAGAAAGAGTTGAGTGCTCAAGCACTTGGATACATAAATAATCTTCAATCTAGCAATTTTGACAAGTTTTTAAAAACATTCTGTGTAGTGATTTTAAACTACTTGCGTTGGAATGTGACTGACCTTCAGTGCTGTATATTTGGTAAGATGTATTACATTATGTGGTGTTGTTCAAAAACTTAGACACACATTCTCGTCATGTCTGATGTGGTAGGGTCCATTATTGGTAGTAACAGAGGGTACACAGTGCAACTAAAACTTAAGAAAATATAAACAAATGAGGAGACCACAGTCAGATGTTTCACTACACATTTTGAAATTTGCTGCACATGCAGAAAACACAATAGACAACTTTGTAATTATGGATACTGTTCTAGTTTTCACTGTCAGTACAAGTGTGTGCACTTGCAGTGCCTCAAAATTTTCTGTTCTTTTAATAATTGTTTGCATTTTGTTTATGTGAATCTTCTTTATTTGCTTGTGTTTTATTTACTTGCACTGCTCTCCAAAACGCAGTGCATATGTTGTCAAACTGGTGAATATGTGCTTTGCATTTGTTTGTGTTGTTACTGCAGAGTACAGTTTTGTAAAACTACATTTATTTGAATTTTATTAAGTGCTAAAATACTGTGCCTACCTAACTACTACTAAAACAATTAGTTGATTGACTATTTTGGCAACAATCTTGATAAACTGTTTAAGCAATTTTCCAAAAGTGGCTCTGGTTTTCTCTGTTTCATACCACTGTAAATTGATTACATTACAGTTTTGCACTGTTGTTTTGTCACTTTCTGGATGTGCTAAATGCGATACGCATATTTCATTGTTTTATGACATTTGAAAGAGCAAATAATGAAGCAGGTAATTAGAAAAAGACAAGAATGAAAATAACAGTTAGCTTTTCATGCAGCCTTTCACTGATGGTCACATTTTCAAACTATTGTGTCTTGGCTACTACAAAATACTGTCGATCACATCTGCCTTCTCATCACAGTACACTAACACGCACTTATGAAGCATAAATCCTTCTTGGGGCAAATTCAATTTTCATGTAGATCAATTCAATCACGTCAACAAAATTTTGTTCCGCTGCATGCAACGACTAGCGCTGATGAGTCATTTATTTAATAGAACCATTGAAAGCCAAGCAGTTATTTACATTCGCTGCGGGCAATGAATACTCAAAGGTCAACGGCTCATTAATATCAACGTGTGGACACGAGCCAGAAGGTCTTGTTGAACACTTTCCCATTTCCATCTCAACACAGTCCATTTATTTTCATCACTTTCAATTAAAACCTCAGATCGCTTTAAAAAAGTTGCCTTCAAAATAATGAATATTAATATATCTAGTGTTTAACTGTGAGGGTGCAGAACTCAGGCGACCCCTTAGAGGCTAAGTGACTTAATTGAAATTGCCATGAAACCATGTTAAAATGCTCTCGACACCACAGCGGTTGTGTGTCACAGCCTCTGTAATGGCAGTTCTGCTTTTGAAAGGCGTGCCACCGGGAGCCGGACATCACCAAACCACTAACTCATAGCTGAGCAAATCCCAGATCTGGAGACAGTACTCAGACAGTCTGTCAGGGCAGGTTTCTCTATCCACAGACCTCCCAGGACACGACCTCGTCAGCAGGCTGTCATAATGACTCCACAATTACCTCCTTATTAAATAAGGTCACCCCATCATTTGGAAACTAGAAACAATGGCTCACATGTGTGCCAGTGCTGCTTTAAGTGGGTATTTAATCTTTACTAAAATGCCATAAGCAGCTTGTTGTTTATTGAAGAATATCTTATATATAGTTTTTGGCTTGCTGCTTGCAAGACCCCACCCGTCACAAGAGAATGAATTAATTTATGGCCAGACAATAAAGATATGTAGTATTTTAGAAAACAGATCAAAGTATGGTGAGTCAAACCATTTAAAAAAACACATACATGAAAATAAAAAAATCGAATACTTTGACCAAAGACCTAAAGGGGAAAATGAAAAAAAAAAAAAAAGACGAGAGAATTCAAATGCAGTTCTTTGATAGCCGACCTGTCCAGCCTTTCACTCCTCTGGGATCTGAGATTGCTAATGGCAGAAGAAAAAGGTCGAGAAACATTAGCTCAGCTCTGGCTCCATTTCCTTTGCAATTATGTCAAAGTCTGAGCCTTTGAAGAGCTCTTCTGTTTGTTTACACTGTGGACTGCAAATAGCCTGTGATCCTCGCTGAGATTTTATTATACAGACTTCTGTATGTCAGCTCCAAATGGGTTTCTGCAGTAGCCCATCAAACGCACCACTGTGCAGCCATATGGTGGAAATGTAGCTGACACCTGCACCAGCAGAGGAACGAAGTGAAAACTTAAGATTTGCTACCACTTACCTATTAGCATTGATGCTTATCAGTTGTCTTTTTTTGGGGGGGTGAAAAATTGCAATTAAAGCTGAATGCTTTCTGTTTGTGTTCTTGTGGTTCTTTTAATTAATTTGAAAGTGGCATTTCCATACAGTCTGCTTTGTAATCCAATTACAATGTAAATTCATTCAAATGCCTGAGGTATGTCTGCTTACTTTATACCAAACACACATAAAAAAAAAAAATCTAAATTCAAATGTACGCTCAAAAATTGTCAAGTACTAAAAAAATTAGGTCAAGGGAGGCAAGTAGGAACAACTCCTGTTTCATAATAAGAGAAAAGAGAAACGAGAAAATAAGAGCGCCTCGAGCATCAGAGACGATGGCAATTTTCCCCAGCGATAGTGACTTATTTGCAACTTATCAGATGGGCTCGACAAACAAAGGAGAGCCAGGAACTTTGCCTTCATACATAACTGAGGGAGAGCAGACAGAGAAGTGAGGATAGGAATGAGAAATAGTGCTGAGTGGGCTGAGACAGGCCAGGGCACAACTGTGTCCCATGAGGGTTTCTGCACTGGGTTCCTGTGAAAAAAAATCTACCAACACAGGGAATTAATGACTCTCATTTCTGAAGAGTGCATGAAGTCCAGTCTGCTGCTGCCTGGCTGCCACTCTCAGCCAAATTTCTCCTGCATCACTTTTACAGCGCTGAGATAGGCCACTGGCCAGCCGGAGGAAATCTTGTTATCATCACGACACAGACATGCAAATAGATACGTTCTGTTCTATTCTGAGTTTAGTTTTTTTTTTTTTAACAACTGAGACTGTGTCTGAATGGGTGCAGACATGTAAAACAAGACTTCACATGGTGAAACCACAGCACGATACAAGCTGGAAGTTAACATTTCAGTTTGTGATGTGAAACATGCTTATTTGTGCCGTCTTGCTTAAACAGCAGAAAAAAAATCTCAGGAGGTAATATTACTCTGGGCTCTGCCTATTTATTGAGATTGATGTCCACTTAAATTTAGGCTATGTCAGCCAGCGGCAACCTCCAGCAGACAAGGACAAATAAGAAATGTGAACAGGCCCATCTACTGTATGGCTTTTGCCTGTGAAGAGCTCCATGGGATGAAAAATGGCTCTAGTGTAATTTAGATTCTGTAAAGCATAGCTCATCTGTGGTTCAGTCAACCAGCTAATGGTATTATGTGAAACAGTATCAAAATGGAGAGGGAAAAAGAGCATGTTGTCTCGTGGTCACACTGATCAAAAACAAGGTCTTTAAATGTACACACATACTGTATGCACAAATACACACACAGACATACGTTTGTACACATACGTACTGACACATTTCCACATAATGCTATCAAAGCTATAATGTTTGCTCCAAATGATAATAGTTTTAATATAAAGAACCCGTATATCGAAGCTGAATTTCTCCCTGGTTACCACAGATGGCTGGTGGTAATGTTGGTCGTCTCTGCCAACGTCCAGAATCTTTTTAAGGGCATTTACACAAAAGAACAACAGGGTGTATCAAAAGTATCTGCTGGTCTTTCACGGGCCAAATGTTAATGTGCATAAAAACGCTATTCTTCTCTAAAAACGGAATCTTTTTAAGGGCATTTACACAAACGAACAACAGGGTGTATCAAAAGTATCTTCTGGTCTTTCAGGGGCCAAATGTTAATGTACATAAAAACGCTATTCTTCTCTAAAAACAACCCTGCCTGTGCAAGCGGCTTATTTACTCACAGTTATGTTCATTGTTAGGTGACCTCTAGTGGCTGTAGTAGTTATGACTGGAGCAAAGGAAGCCAGGCTGCGTAGGGAGGAGGTCGGAGTGGATGGACGAGTCGACAGAACGCGAGTTTGACTCAGGAGACTGTTGTTTGCTTCCTGTTTCAAACCTACAGTCTTTGTTTCTTACAACCATGACCATTTCATAAACTTATCCACATGTTTATCACTGTAACCAAGACGATGAAGAGTCGTAGGGGTATACAGTATCAGAGGGTAGGGACAAACGACCTACAATATATGGTTGCTTAGTTTGGAGGACTTGTACACAACCACAACATCCACAGTTTGATTCCCAGGTGGGGGACAACTGTTACACGTCATACCCACCACTCTCCACCCTTGGTTCCTCTCTCTCTAGACTGTCAAGTATCACATTTTTATTAAAAAAGTATCCTCTGCTGACACAAGGATTACAAAACACATGTTGTGACTATGCTGTATAAAGCATACACAACTAGACTTTCCCTAGAAGTTGTACAGCATAAAGTCTGGTAGATGATGTGCTGCTGTTCACACATAGCGACTACTGCCAGCTTGATGACAGGTGAATGCGAAAAATCAGCCTGGTCCTGCCAGAGCTCCTCTGTTCTGCTGTGGAAAACAGCCTTACTTTAAACATACTCCTGAATATCAAATTAAAAGTTCCTGCTGTGCTGCACCGTGCAACAATGACAACCATGAGAACCTGTGATGTTGGAAAATGAAGTCAGTCTTGGAGTGGTGTTGCCTAGGAGCTTATAGTACAGTATAGGGCAGATCACTGAAT